CCCCAAAACCCCAAAACCCCAAAACCCCGTAAGTAATCAATTTTTAAAATAGAGTGAAATCGATTAAATACAAATGAAAATAACATAATGGTCTTGCACAGAATCAGAATGAATATGAAGGATGTTATATAAGCAATAATAGTTTAATTTCTATTCATTCATGCTAGGGTAGAGATGATATTGTTGACATATTCCTAAGTTCTGGTTTCGAGTCTCTTGGTGTCAGTTCTCACAATGGAGATCTCAACATTATCTGACTGAATTTTTTCTTCCATCACACTCTTCAAAGTCTACATTACAAGCTTCTCTGCTTCAGCTAGAGTCATGTTACTGTGATATGACTCCTTAATATAGGTCATTGCTGTGTCACCGCCTGAGCCAATTGCTCTAGCTTACCATTGAAGGAAAGTTCCTGATGGATCTGTTTGATAAAGCTGTGGGCCGTTGTCATCAACTCCAGCAATTAATAATGCAACACCGTATGGTCTGGCCATTGGCTTTCTCTTAGTTCCTTCATAGCCTTCTCCGAAGTTAATAGCTAAGTCACTGACTGCCTCAGTAATTTATTCAATACTCATTGCCTCAGCATAGTTGAAACGATGATTTTAAGCTTCGACTCTTGCATGATCAACCAAGATTCTTGCGTCTCCAACAATACCACTCATTGCGCAGCCACAGTGTCTATCGATCTATAATTTATAAGTTAGTCTCGTTTGCTAAATATTCTGTAATGGTGCATACCTCAACTAGTTTCTCTGACTTAGCTGGCTCCATTAGCTTAGATGGCAGTTTCTTCTCAACTCCAAGCACGACTCCCTCGTTAGTTCTGATTCCGATAGCAGTTGATCCGAACTTTAACCAAGTTTTAGATTAAAGAAGTATGGAAATGCTTGTAGAAATTTACCTTGATTGCTTCTATGGCGTACTCGATTTGATAGATTCTACCCTCTGGAGAGAATGTGTTCACACCACGATCGTAGTGCTCTTTACTATAAGCATGGGAGTTAAGAATCAAAATTTGGATAAAGTGCTTTAAGCAATGTTAAAATTTACCTGCCCATCCACATTTTTAAGATTTAGATTTTATATTTAAATTATGGTTAATTTGCGGAATCATTAAAAGTAACAAACTTTAATCTTAATTTACAATCAATTAAAATTCAACATAACTATCTCACACCACATCACTTTCAATTATCATTTTCTTAAATTGTAATCATCATTAACTCAAAGACTGACTGGGTTTTAACTCTAATAGTTTTAGCCTCAAAGGTCATCGTCTTCTATTAAAAAGTTATCTATCTCATTCACAAGGTCATCCTCGTCCTTGCCCTCACTCATAGGTGAGTTATCCTCTGATTTTTTCCTCGTTTGCTTCTACTAATCTCCAGCTTTGCTACTTTTGCTTGTATCTAGATAAGTTTAGTTGTTGGTGTTTGTATTGCTTGAAGTATTTGGTATTGATTTGCTTTCTTCGTATCTGACATGAATTGGATTTTCTCTTGAGCCTCCTCCCATATTAGTATTGACTTGGATGAAGTCATCACTTGACTATTGGTTGCCTATAAGCACTGCAGAACTTCCCAGCTAGCTGGCTAAGTCATGCTGTTAATTCATCAACTTGGACTTTAAGATTTAGTTTTCAGCGCTTAATGACTAATCTCTTTGCCTCATCCTGCTTAGCTCTGAGGACAATTGCTTTATTTCCTAATAAGACAAAATTAAGCTCTAGATTTTAGTTGGTGTATAATAAGATTGCAGCTGGCTAGTGTACTTACATTTTTAGATTCTTCTAGGTTTTTTTCTAGATATTTCTCCTTGCCAGTTTTAGTAGTCTTTGAAGTAGTCACTAAAGGTATTGATGTTGCCTAGTATATTTAATTAACTCAAACCTAAAATGAACTTACCTCTTCGTCATCTTTAGTTCGCTTGACCTTTTGATACTCAGAATACTAAACAATTGATTAGTATATTACTTGTATTTACCTTGTTCTGCTTCTTAATTGGGTTTCTGCTTTGGACTTCACTTCTAATGCGATCATAGTTACGCCCAATCATGAAAAACATAGCAGCGATCAGTACATACACCACTAAAGCTCCAAGATAGCTGCCATTCTGATCTGAGTAAACCTAGTTATTGGAATTCATTTTAACTTTTTTTAAAATTTTTAAATCTCTCATTGATATACAATTCTGCTCATAGGGGTTTTGGGGTTTTGGGGTTTTGGGGTTTTGGGG